TCTTTTAACTTGGCATGCTGCTTTTGGCTGCTTGAGTTTTTATAGGTGATCGAGTTGGTTAAATTGGTGGACACGAAAATTCCATCAAGAAATATATAATCTGCTGACACACAATGAAGAACCTATCGCTTTATTCAAGTTGCTTCAGTGATCTTTGCTTGAAAAGGCCTTTTATACAATTTTTAAGTAATAAATAATTTTTAATAAGTTGAAGTAATAATTGAAATTTTTCCATTGAACGTTCACCGATATGACAAATGAGGACTTAGCTTTAACATACTATACATGTGATATATTAGCCATGGAGCATGTTCAGCTTACAAATTTCACAGATGCAATAGGAATACTGTAATTGAATACGATTTCTTATCCTCTTTCTGATAGGCAAGGTTGATCCAGAAGGATTTTTTGTGTGCATTGATCAAAATACATTTTGAACCTCGGTGTAAATCCACTTTATCAGCCCAAGGCTATTGATTACTTCCAATTGTTAACATACATCAATAGTAATCGGTGCATCCACAATGAATCTTCATCTCCATCATTGATTTTCTTTGTTGCTATTAATATGCCTTTGCTAAATGCCTTTTATTTTAAACGCTCATTTTAGACGTCTAGTTTGTAGGTCATATCTACTGAGTTTATACCGCGGTTGTACAAAATACCTTAGTCTACTAGAGAATTCTAGCCCCAATCTACTATTTGTTTATGCTCTCTGAGATGAACTATTGACCTCTGTGAGCACTGGAGTTCAAATATGTAGTTGTATTTTGCTTGGGCCTTAACTACTCGATATAGATGAGTTTAATTGAAATTAGGCATTAAATCACATTATGCCTATGGCTCAACTTGAAAATAACATTAAGTACGACTGATAAAGTACCTGCCCTTTTAAAATGCATTGTAAGCGTGGATGTAAATTATTAAAGTGATTTGAGCAAAAAATTATTGGTGCAACTTTGAGTCAAAAATATGAACCAAGCAAAAGGAGTGAAAATTTCTTTAAAAAATTTATGAGAACAACACAAAAGCTGAGATTTCTAACTGTGAAAGTGCTCCCAGAGTTGACTTGAAAAGAACGAAGGTTCATTTTTCCAATTTATATGTTCACACAAATTTCACATATCTTTTCTAACGTAGAGCTCAAAGTGTCAAGATTAATTTTTGAATTGTTAGTAGATGATATCTTTTTGAGAAGTTAAATCACCTTTTTGGCATTCAGTTTTCCAATCGATGCGATTTTGTCGAATTGTTCTCTATACATTTGATACAGGAAATATTTAAAAAATCTTTATTTTGGCAAGCGACTTTTAGTTGATGCAATACAATCTCTTGAGTTAATTTAAATAACCAAACATGATTTGGTTGCAAAGATTTTGGACATTTCTTTGCCCCTAGCTTTACTTTCCGGTTCCACAATAAAATTTTAATTTACAAATCTCAGTTTTCAATAAGTTGTCTAACTCAAGAAACATGCGGACTCAAAATAGTATATTTCCGAATTAAAGATAGAAATTAAGGAAACTATTTGAATGGGACAGCGCTGACCAAAAAAAATGATTAAATTTCCGACAAATAGGGAAAATTAAAATAATAATAAATTTATTCACTATTTTAAAGAGCATATTAATACTGCTGCAAAAGCATGCGATACTGTGTCTTTAGGTCATCTTAGGTATTAGAAACAATAAATTTTCCAGGCCATAGAGTTTTAAGGACATTGAAACTATCAAAACGTGCATTGCGCCTCCTTCAGTACTGCAAGATCTAGTTAATTCGAATTTAATTGTTTTTTTCCCTAATCAGCCACGAGGTATTAGAACATGAGATTGCGGAAAAAGTAAGTGATTTCCAATTTCGAAAGGGAACCCGTTTCAAAATGTCAATAATTTGATTTTAACAGCAAATGACTATAAACGAAACTGAAGATAGGTCCATCTCCTGGTTTCAAGACTGGAGCTCTTATTTAATGACAAATGAGACTTTGTATAAAGTTTCTAAGTAACTTGTTTCAAAGTGGAATAAAACGACTGTACTTTTGGGAACTTAGATGTTCCTTTAAAGTTATTATAGAAAAGACAATATTTCTTAGAAGGTTTCTTTTTATGTGCATATTTTACCATGATTATGATGATCTGCGTATAATGGGTAACCAGTTACTCAAATCAGGAGTTTACTAGTTTTATTCTATTCTTAAATAGCTCTCTTTGAAGCGGATTAAAATTCTGTAACTTTGATCCTACCTAGAGTTTGAAAAGGTTTCATTATAACAACGGGCACGTATGACTCATTTTGGAAAGAAAAACTTTCATTTCAATTTAAGCAATTATTACATGAAAAGCATAAAGTTGAATTTGATATTCTCATCTACCTCCTTTTGGACCGATAAGGTGAAATAATCACCATGGCATGACTATACATTAGAATATTTTGACTGGTCAGCGGGCAACTATGCTACTTCGTGTCAAAAGATGCGAGTCATTTACCTTTAAATTGTTATGAATCTTAGCAATGATCATTACCGTATTTTGCTGTCTATTATCTCTTCTACAACTCACTTGCCTCCAACCAATTATTTAAGGGAGAATTGATCTTTACCAGCGATTTACGCATACTTAAAAAAATATTAAGGTTTTTCTAGTTGAATTTAGAAGTAGAGGTACACTTGTCGTCTTCTCTGTCTCTAAGTTGTCAGCAGCAAAAAAATGTCACTGATGGGAGAGGGAAGGCGCAAATCAAAGTTCTGAGGAGATTTGAGTCCTGTTAAAATTTCTTTTAATGATTTACGCAAAATGCTTAGCCAATGATCACAAAATGGTACTTAGTTGAGGGTTACCATTTAACCACCTTAGTTCGGTTTGTGATTTTAATTTTTCAAATGCCATTAATGAATGAAGATTCAAAATAATCTGTTAAAACAGTCAAAATGGGGGGGGGGTTGAATTGTTGGTAAACACTTTTTACCCAATTAGTGGAGTAATTTTAAATGAGAGGTTGGCTTGTGTGGATTTCATTGGATTATGCTAAACCAAATGCAACATATTTCATTTAGCCATGACAAAGGCATTCATTTATTATCTTTTTACTCATATCCATAAAAAGCAGCAGGTACTTTAATCATTCTGTCAAAGCTTCCGAGTCTATAGAACAGTGGGCCATCCGTAAACGGAATAAAGGAGGGGAACCAATTAGGAGCAAATGTGATGGAGACATCTAAAAGCCAAATAAGTTAAATCCATGGAATTGAGCTGTGCAGCTGCTCTAGTGCAGTCCATTGATGTTGCTCTACAAGTTGACCTCCGCTTAGTGTTTTAGTGTTTTGAGTACGGAACTAATTGGCCAGTGGGGTCAAGTAGATCGGCGATCAAAAATTTCTGGTAGTAAATTTCAATCACTAGTCAAAGGCTATCATTTCATTTTGAAAAAACGCGATTCGCTATAATAGTATTCATTACAGGTCGCTTTAACCTTTACTACGAAATTATTGAGATGCCAAAAAAGTACAAGAACAGACAATCCACAGAAGATTAAGAATAGTATTGGGTTGGCAACTAAGTCATTGCCGTTTTTGTTGACGGATTCACTCTATACTTTCTCTTGTATTGTTAACATGGCCAGAGCATCTAACCTATATTTTTTTCTTACTGTATGGGCTTCTAGGTTAATTAGTAAAAAATGTTTTTGTTTAGTTCTTTAGTTCTGTTTCTATCCAAATTTAAAAATGAAAGAACAGGACGTGCACTTCCGACACATTTTATTGTATTACTTCCGAAAAGGCAAGAACGCATTGCAAGCACAAAAGAAGTTATGTGCCGTATATGGAGATGAAGCCTTAAACGAAAGGCAGTGTCGAAATTGGTTTGAAAGATTTCGTTCCGTTGATTTTTCACTGAAAAATTCACAACGATCTGGCCGCCCAGTCGAAGTGGATGAAACCCATATCAAGGCCATTATCGATTCAAATCGTCACAGCACAACACGAGATATTGCAGAGAAGCTCAATGTGTCGCATACATGCATTGAAAAAAAAATGAAAAACCCTTGGTTATGTCAAGAAACTTGATTTATGGATCCCTCACCAGTTAAAGGAAATTCATTTGATGCAACGGATTAGCATCTGTGATTCGCCGCTACTGAAACGCAATGAGAATGATCCATTTCCGAGGAAGAACCTAGTTACTGGCGACGAAAAGTGGATAGTTTATAACAATGTTACTCGCAAGAGATCATGGGTGAAGCAAGATCAACCAGCCCAAACAGTATGAAAAGCAGAGATTCACCAAAAAAAGATTATGCTGTCAGTCTGGTGGGATCACAAAGGAATTTTGTATTTTGAACTCATGCCGCAGAACCAAACGATAAATTCAAATGTGTATGTTGAACAACTCGAAAAACTGAAGGATGCAATTGAAGATAAGCGACCGGCATTATCAAATCGGAAGGGTGTTGTTTTCCATCATGATAACGCAAGGCCCCCCTCCGCACACATCTTTGGTTACTCGGCAAAAATTATTGGAACTAGGTTGGGATGTTTTGTTTTGTTTTGTCACACCCACCATATAGCCCTGACCTTGCGCCTTCGGATTACCATTTGTTTCGTTCCATGCAAAACTCTTTAAATGGTAAAATTTTGAACAACGCGGATGATGTCGGATCACACCTAATTCAGTTTTTTAATAGCAAAGACCAGACATTTTAGGAACGGGGAATTTTTACTCTGCCAGAAGGATGGAAAAAGGTCATCGACAAGAACGGCCAATATCTAATTGAATAAAGTTATATTTTTAAACAAAAATTCCGAATTTGCCTTCTTATTTGAAATCGACAATGACTTAGTTGCCAACCTAATAGATAAACGTTAAAACATTAAATAAATTCGTACTAACGCACTATCTATTGTTTGTTGTGAACTCATGAATCGAAAAATTGGAGTAAAAAACCAATACAAGTGGTCGAAACATAATCTGGCATTAAAATAAATCCATGGAATAGTATTGTATTTATTTAATAGTAATAATTACTTGATGAATAATAGTTGGCATTTTTGGAGCGTTCTTCTTGGCTCCTTCGAATTCACGCCTCTCAATTTCTCTTTCCAATTTTTCCATTTCTGCTACCTGTTCGCGCCTTTCCAATTCTTTTTCAATGTCTTCAAGTCTAGTGTAGATCTTCCGTTTACGACATCTACCTCTAAAACAACTCCGTCTTCTTGACTGGGCTTTCGAGGTAATCTTTCTTTGATTTTCAGTTTCATTTTCTGCCTTTTCAGTATGCGGTAATGTCTCGATAGTCACTTTTGTAATGGTTGATGTTCGATTATCGATTTCCTCACATCGAACATGGTGAAGATAGAAGACTGTAAACACCAGGGCGAATAATAAAATTCGTTGCATTTTCTATCTTAATGGACATTGATTTGGTGCTTTTATAGAGCACTTGCCTTGTGCGCAGTTTATTGGTTGCAATTACACTGAAGTAAAATCGATATTTAGTTCAGAGTAATTTCAATGCAGTACTTACAATTTTAAGCACCAGTATTTTGATTTAATTTTAAAACGGCAAATACGATCAACATTACTCTTTTCATGGCTATGGATTTTTTCCAAAAATCTTGATTTCACTGGCATTAACAAGATGAAAATAAATTAAGCATATTTTTAATTTCACTGGCTCTCTGGGCCATATTTTACGTAGCGAGAAAGTACAATTTGGTTGACTGTCAAACTGTTTGTTTCATTTTGACGCGAAATTTCTTTTCTGCGATTTTTGAGTATTTTTCCGCTAATCGAATAAACAAAAATACTATATGTATTTATTTGTTAAATAATACAATTTTCATATTTCTGTAGCATAATATTCAACATTTTCCGAATTCCCTCAAATTGAAATTCGATAAATCAAAGGGTTAAAATATTTTCTATATAAAATATGACTTCAAAATGGGATTAGATCGTAAGAGATGATGAAGATTAATCATGAAGTTGAGGAAGTAGCCGCCTGTATTGGCGTATTTTAAAATTTATTTATTTCAAATGGCAGGCGTTTTGATAGTTTTCATTAGCCCTTTAGTTGAATTCGGGCTTCACAGAGGGAAGGAAAATCAAAGTGGGAAAAATTCGAGAGTGGGGCAGAAAAGTGATTCAAGGATGCTAAAGGGATAGACAGACACAAAGGCAGAGAAAAGGTTAGATGAGTACTGTTGAAGACATACAGTGAGGTGTTGGTTGTTTGAAGTGAGAAGTCAACTGCCAGTTAATAGACTTTTTGCCGTATGAGTATACGTTGCCCAGGGTGCACCAAGTGGAGTTAAGTCTATTGCACACCCCACATATTATAATATTAAAAGTAGATAAGCGAATCGAGATATTGTTGGGACGGAAAAGAGTATTTTTTTCAAAAATAGACATCCGTTGATCATCATAACCATTTGAAAATTTTGCTTGCAGAATTGAAATGGGCAAGTCAAATGCCTTAACTGCTAATCATCCTTCTAAATTACTCGAATTGCTGCGCTTTTTTTCTTAAATTTTAAGTGCCAGAATTTTTGTAAGCCTGTCCGTTTCCACAATTTCTTCTCGATACACCTTCTTTTTAATCTCCAATTAGTCAAGTTGTTATCTCTCGAATTTCGGCATTTTACATAATTAATAGCATAGAGTAGCCTTCGTTTCAATAAAAATAATAATATGATGTCGGTCGAGGTCATATGCAAGGAGTAGATCGAGGCATTCCTATTGCGAGAAATCATCGAAGATGGGCGAGATAACTGTCAATTCATTTAAAAATAGCTTGAATTTATTTAAAAGCACTTCGCCTTGAAACATCAATCATGTCTGGTCGACGATTTCTCTGCATAATGATTGACATCTTTGAGAGTATTTACGTGCACCATCGGTGACCTTGCAACGCAGAATTACATTTTCTAATCCAAATCGCTGAACTTTCATTGCGTCTTTTGTATGTAGTATAAGTATAATGTATTTTAGAGTTAGCGTTTTAAATTAATATTGGTAAAAATATTATTCAGCTTTGATTGGAAATAGTTTAGCTTGAACAACTATTCCCATAACTCCCAAAATGTAACACCATCAACATCAATTTAGTGATTGAATTTACCTATCCATACTTTGGCAAAATGTTTGTCTGGATATGGAACTTTGCATGAAATTCTGCAGAATGGAAAGGTCTACTACCTTCGACCAGAAAGAGATTGGAAAGTTACTTATTGCAAGTGCCATTCATCCGTCAATTGGTAATTGGCTCTCTAATGAAATAATCTACGTGACTGTTCAGCCAGTCTTTGGTTGTCTATTAATGCTATGCTGCCTCTAAAAAAGTGAATTCAGTCAATTGTCCCAACTCTTAAGGTGGGTGCAGAGCTGTTTTGAGGCATATTTCTGGCTATTTAATATTTCATTTTACGGGGTGTGCGATAGACTTACCTCCACGTGGTGCACCCTGGGCAACGTATATTCTTACGGCAAAAAAGTCTATTGACTGGCAGTTGACTTCTCACTTCTAACTACCATCACCTCACTCTATGTCATATTCGAATATTTCCACAGTACTCACCTCACTTTTGTTCTACCTTTGTGTTTGTCTCTTACATCTTTGAAACACTCTTCTGTTCCCCCCCCCCTATTGACTTTTTCAATTTGATGTTTCTTCCCCTCTGTGAAGCTTGAAGTCAACTAAAGGGCTAATGATAACCATCAAGACGCCTGCCATTTGATATAAATAAATAATTATTTCATTTTACTATATTCTTTGCATTTGATTGTAGGAAGATTCAACTTTTTGCAGCTTTAGTGACCATGCCATTGGAAGAAAACTTTGAAATTTATATTAATAGAAGGCAGTTAAAGTGTAAAACAACGATCAAATATGGACATTGAGCTGAAGAA